ATAAGGGTCCTTCTTTTGGGTGACCAATCTGGAAAATTCCTCTGCAGACTCTGAAAACTTCGCCAGACTATGCCACTGATTTGAGGAGCAGAACAGCCTGACAGGGCTTTATTCTTTTCCTTTTTCTTATTCACAGACACAACTACATTGAAGGAACCAAAGTGTTTGCAGCCTTTTTCCTGGAGATATCAAACCTACATCGGCACTTACACGGAGCTTCCAACACAGAGACTAACAATTGATACACCATCGCAAGAAAATCAGCAAAACACTTTTTTAGTATTAAGCTTTCTAATTTCCTGATCTGGAAGAACATATAAATCACACATGCAGTGGATCTGGGTTGGTGGAAAAAATAAATGTCATGCTTTAACTTGGCATACTACTAGCTGGCATGCATTTGTGTCCAGTCAAGCTGGTGAACTTATTCCTATTGTTATAAAATAGGGTTTGTGAGCACAGTTTTAAGAATCACTACATAATCTATTTCCTTCATGTGACTCTTTTTTTTTTTTTTTTTTTTTAAATAGAAAAAAGCTTTTCTAAACCTCCCTTCTGGCCCAAGTCGATCATCAGAAGGGTGTTGTTTCACCCAGTTAGCAACTGGTGGTTGTTAATTACTTTTAAAGCATTAGTCTAATTTGATAATTCAGTCAAAGACAAATGATATAGCTTGAAATGAAAATAGTTGAGAGCTCTGTTTGCTGTTTAGGCAAAACACCTAGCACAAATCACACAATTCAAATCTGTATATTTTTATAATTTCAAAATGTGATTTTTAGTATAATATATAGTTAATTCACACACAACCAAACTAACAGAACCAGATTTAAACAAAAATTTAGTAGTGAATCCCGACTGTTAAAGCAAATGACATCGGTAATTAAACTACAGAAAATAGTTGGTATCTTTCCTTTCTGTCCTGCTACTTCCCTGCAAAAACCTGCAAGAAGAAAGGTGCTTCCAGGACCAGAAGACTCCTGTTTGCACATCATCAGCTTGTAGAATAGGTCCTCTGCAGTCTCTCAGTTCCCTGCACCTGCTGAAGCCATTTAGGAACCAGCACAGTAAGGAACACTGCAGGGGTGAGGACTCCGGCACCTGCAGAGGACGCAGGGCAGACTGCTCCATGCTTAAAAGCTATTGCTCCCTAAAGATAAATGATTTTTGCTGAAGTATTTGAAGACATACAATGGACATAAATCATTATTTTCAGTCTCATGTTTTGCAGGGGCTTTACAAAGTGACTTCAACCATCACTGAAAGAAACATCAACTTATAAATATGCTACTTCTGGCAGAAGAGTGGAAAGCTTGGTGAGTTGGTGGAGGTGGCAGATTTCCTCATGGAAGAGGTATGGAGGCTGTGTTCCAATGAGTATAACTGCTCTGAAAACCACTATAGTCCATGTTCTCTATGGCTTCTACAACAAAAACTAAAGGTGGGCTTATATTACATGTATTTTTTTTTTCTGTTGCTCTTTGGAACACCAAATAACAGCACAGGCACTATCACAGCAGTGAACTGAAATATGGTTCTGTTCTGAAATAGCCACTTACTGTCAGATTGAAACCATACGTGTGAAACAATAAGACAAATGAATTAGGCAGACCATCTTCACACCTTCAGTCCCAGAAGAGAGAAGAAGCAGAAAACTTCAATTTCAGATTCTCCTGGCCATGAAAGAAAGCACTGGGGAAGCCACTCCCACCCATGGCCATATCCAGAGCT